CCTGATATGGTCCGATACAAGTCACTCCAYCATGGGTCGAACCAGTCCGATTTGGTCTAACCAAACTGATCCAGATTTAAACGGTTCAACCACCCTTGATGTGATTAATTCGAAGACAATCCAATTAGATAGTTCAAATTGGTTAACCTAAGTGGTTCAGTCAAATCCGAAATCCAAACATAGTCAAATGGCTTCGCCGCTTGTGTAAAAATAACATGCATGTAATGTGATTTGAACCTTCACCACTTGTTTAAATAGCAATTACTATTACCACCAAGCTATGACCAACTTATTTGTCAAGAGAGTTAGTTTTTCTTTTAAGTAAACAAATATAAGATTAATGAGTTTGGACGGGTTGGATTGGGTTAAACCAGATTTGGGTTGAACCAAACCCATTTAATTTTATATAACTGGTCATTAATTGACTAGTGGGTTTGATGGGTTGGGTTGAAGCTCAACCCAAACCAAACCCAACCCAACTTGCCCAATTGCCACCGTTATTGTTGACCAACCAAGAAGGAAGACATGCTCCACCTCTCATCAAATGATGTGATCAATATCGATGCCACACCAACATCCCTCATCAACCAGCCACCATCCTAAAGTACCTCATTAGTCCATGGCCTTTTGCATAGTGGGGCATTGATATTCTAGGCCCTTTCCCCTACTATTGGAAGGAGGAAGCATTTCATAGCTGTCATTGATTATTTTACCAAGTGGGTTAAAGTCGAGTGGTTGGCCAACATCAGATCTCGAAATGTCCAAAATTTCTTTTGAAAGATAATCATTTGCAGATTTGCGTTATTGTAGGTACTAGTCTTGGATAACGGAAAGTAATTTGGTGGCATCAGATTTCAAGATTGGTGCACAATGATGGAGATACACTAGAGGTTCATCTCAGTAAAGCACCCATAAATCAATGGGTTCTATTTGGCACTTCCAAAGAAAGGACTCTCAATCTGACACCCTAAGCGGTGCTATTCATTTCATGCAACCACGATATCTCAAGTTGATGGTTTGTCATGGAGGTTTTAATATAAAAACCTCGTTCCTCATGAAACTACCCTAGCACCTGTTGGCTTGAGCYCAATTCAGCCAGGTAATGAGTTTTATGCCTTGTATTTATAGTTTCATTTGTGATACACACAAACCAGGACCATGATGCTCTTGGTGATGAGATGAAAGAAGAAGAGTGTGGGGACATTTAGCACCCCAACCAAGGGAGAGACCTTGAAAAGATGAAGCCCATAGACCAAGTAGATTGAGAGGAGGATAAAGTTGATGTAATAAGCGATGGAGATGATGGCATTCCTAGTGAGAAGAGAATTGTTAGATGTTGGAGTAATAGATCTTGTAATGATTCTCTAGGCCAGTCTGTCTTCTCCATCCATAATGCTCAAGAAAAACCTATGTTGTCATTCAACCATTAGCTTGTGACAAACATGTAAAAGTTAATGGCACAATCAAGTTGAACCACTTGTTCTTAGGGTTATTAATGGGTTGGATTTGACCCAACAGATCCAGTTCCTGATATATTGTCCCAATTATTATTAGAACAAAACCAGTTCCACCCAGTCACAAACTGATTCAGACTTGAATTCAATAGGTTTATTGATTGTCCCGAGAACAACTTGGTTTGGTTTTGGATCTTGTCAAGTCGATTCTGATTCTACTTGGACCCAACTCAGACCTGACCCATTGACCTACTTGAGCTAGGTAGTCATTACTATTCCACATGAGGTGAATTTACCATATTGCTCCATGGTTAATTTGATTTAATTATAAATTGGTTGAATTCAAATCACCACTGATGAGATCAAATTCAAACAACTCGACATGGATGGTTTGCAGCCCTATCATATAATCTAAAACTCTTAGAAGTAGTTGCACAAATAGGGGTGCAAATGGATCTGATCATGATCCAATTCGAATTCAAATCAGATCCTATTTTGCCTGATTTGGATAACTCCCTTTTAGATTTGATATACATACATACATACATACATACATACATATATTATTTGTAATTGGATTTATATATTATTTATGTTATTAATTTTATAATAATGACATCTATACACTTATACTAATATAAGGAAGTCTATCTTCTCTTCATCTTTTTTCTTGAATTTTTTATTTTATTTTATTGCATGTTATTTTTACAAATAATCATTATATATAAACAAAGAGAGAGTTTCTATACCTATATCTAGCCACATGGCACTATCCCCTTCACTAGAGTCCCACTCTAATTCCTCTCTATTCTCTCCTCCACTCTCCTAAATTATCTCTCTTTCCTACTTATTCTCTCACTCACTTTTCCATTCATATTTGTCTAAAGAATGTTTGAATTCAAAAATTTAAGAAATATTTAAATATTATAATGAAATTATGTAATAAATTTAAAATATTTATGAAAAATAAGAAATATTATAATAGATTAACTAATATTAGGATTACAAATACTTTTATACTTTTACAAAATTATGTAATAACAATATAGATTATAATTCCATGGACTATTCAATTTAATAACTAAATAATAATTTAAAATTTTAAATAAAATTATCTAAATAATTACATAACAAAATGTTTAATATTGTGTAATAAGTTTAAAACAAATAAAGCTCAAATAACAAAAGATTTTAAATGCTACTTAAATATATAATAACGAAACATTCAACATAACTAAATTTTAAATATTTCAAATAACAAAATTAAGTAATAAATTTAAAAATTTTCTTGAAAATAGAAAAATAACTATAATAGTCTTCATATATAATATATGTTCAAATTAATAATAATTTTATGTTTTAGGAAATTAATAACAAAGTTAAGTAATAACAGTTTTAATTATAATATTTTTAAAATTTAAGTAAAGAAATTATTTAACCAACGAAAAATATATTAAATGATTAAATTTAAAATGTTTAACATATTGAAAAAATAACAACTAAATCTCATTTTAATTATTATTTAAATAAAAAAATCTATTAGGTATTGAAATTAAGTAATAAATTTAAAGATTAATTAAAATACAAAAATAGTTATAAAAGATTTAATAATGTTTGATAATATGATATAAAATATAAAAAGTTTAAATATGATTTATATAATGAAAAATAGTTTAAATAACATAGAGTTATTGGAGATTCAAAATAACAGAAGTATGTAACAACTTTCAAAAAATATTTTTTAATAGATAATAAAAAATAGAATAATAATTACAGTTATTATTGAACTAGTAATATAAATATTATATAACTTATATCAATTAATAATTTTAAGAAAAAATAATAATTTTTATGAATAGTTTTAAAATCTTTATCTATATATAGTATATATTTATATACACTATAATTAATATTTAATTGTATTTTCAATATCTTTTCTATATTGACTAATATTTATTAGATATTAAATTATTATTGGAGATTACACTATTTATTGATTAATTTAATATATTTTCAGTATATACTTTGTTTTTTATAATTATTGATTTATTTTTTAGTTATTTATTATATTTTTGTTATATATTCATTTTTAATTATTATATAATTTTACTATAAAATTTTAATAGTTATTGGAGATTAAACTATTGTTATTTATTACAAGTTATACTACTAATTTAAATAAAATTAATTATTGTTATTTTCATATTGTAAAGAATATTGTATAAAACATAAATAGTTATTAATTATTTCAAAAGTTAAAATAAAAAAAAAGTTGTTTACTCTTGTATTATATAATAATAATAATAATAATAATAATAATAATAATAATAATAATAAAATGGTCGACAAAAAATGCTTGTCTCTTTCGCTACCTGAATTCGATTTGATTCGTTTGCAGCACTGGCTTTCACTACCACAAATCAAGAAGAAGCAAAAATAAAACCATTAATGTCATTAAACTTGGTGCTCGATGTATAGTGGTTGCCACCAAGGCACTAACAGACATCACATGGTTGAAACACTAATATTTTATTAGCCACTCACATATGCTCACATATATATATATATACACGTATAATTCCAGGTTGGTTTGGTTTGTGATTGGTTGTTTATTACAATGTTTTGGAACCGTCGTTTATTTGAATGGTAGGACCGTTCAAGTATTGGTTTTGTTTTACCCCAAATCTAGTYTTCATTAATCTGAATGTTAAATCGTTGATTTATTTGGCCTATTTATCATTCTTTTGTTTTAATTATTTTTTAACTTTTTGTTAAATCAGGTCATTCATTCTAACTACTCCTAGAGGTGTAAAGTGGGCCATGTCAGGTTGGCATGGCCCAGCCCGTGGGTGGCCTGCACAAAGTCCAGGCCGTGCCGTGCTGTCCCATGAGTTGTCATGGGCCGTGCCGCCCTCCTCGGTCAAAATTTTGGGGGTTGGCTTGGCATAGCCCACGATTCAAGCCTGTACGGGCCCATGTCGTGTCGTGGGCCGGGATGGCCCGTATGTTGAGCCTTAGGCTAGGTTGAGCCGTGCATCGGGCTAAATCTATTTATTTAAAATAAAAAATTAACAAAAAATTTAAAATTTTAATTTTATATGAATTTTGTATATAAAATTACTTATATATGTAATAATTAAATAAATTAGTATGATGAAATTAAAAAAATATTTACTTTATTAATACATTATATACTATATGTTATTATATAATTATAATTAATATAATATTATATAATTATATATAAAATATATATAGGGGCAGTGCTGGGCCATGCCGGCCCTGCGGGCCATGGGTAGCACGGCCTTCTCAGTCGTGCGCATCTCACACTCTCACCTACTCAAGCCATACCACCCCGGCCCCCAACCCCCGTGACAGCGGGATTATGATTCCATATCACATCTACAAACGCGCCAGCCGCCAGCCACTGTACCAACTCAGCCAATTGGCACGAAATTAATTGGAATATTGACAATAATTTATATTGGGACAATTAATTATTTATTCAAATCACATTTCTTCTTTGTTTCATTCGTATGTAAGCACCCAGACATTGTTTTCACCTGAGAGATCGTATCCTTCATTCTACTACAATCACTATTTTCATTTCTTTGACGTTCCTGTTCTAAGAGAGGATCGATGGCGGCAGGGGCAGTTATTTCTGCTATTGTGGAGAACCTTTTAGGGAGCTTGAGCTCTCTGATCGGCCGTGAGATTGCATTAATATATGGTGTCAATTCAGAGCTTGAAATTCTCAGCAGGAGGTCATCAACAATTCTAGCCGTGCTTCAAGATGCAGAGCAGCAAATCAACAAGCCAGCTGTGAAAATTTGGCTCCAGAGTCTCAAGGATGCGGCTTACGATGCAGAAGACGTATTGGACGAGTTCTGACAGAAGCTCTTCGTCGCAAAGTGGACAATCGCGCGATTACAAAGGTAAGCAACATCTTCTTACGCTCTAGAGTGGGTCATAAAATTAAGAGGGTTTTGGAAAAAATAGACAGAATTGCAGCTGAAAGGTCTCAGTTTAATTTGAGGGTGTCTGAAGTGAACAGCAGAGCTGAAAACATAGAGGGACGAGAGACTGATTCCTTTGTGATTGAATCAGAAGTTTATGGAAGAGATGAAGATAAAGAGAAGATTGTAAAAATGGTAATCAGCAGTGGTGACAAAGCTGATGATGTTTCAATCATAGTCATCCCCATCGTTGGCATGGGGGGGCTAGGCAAGACAACAGTTGCTCAGCTAGTATACAATGATGACAGAGTAAAAGGGTACTTTAACCTACGAATGTGGATCTGTGTTTCTGATGATTTCGATGTAAAGAAGCTTGTAAGATCAATTATAGAATCTGCTACTGCTGGTGCTAAATGTGACATCTCAGACATGGATCCATTGCATCATCGCCTACAAGAGGTGTTGCGGGGGAAGCTATTTTTACTCGTTCTTGATGATGTATGGAATGAGGATCATGAGAAATGGGATAGATTGAGAAAATATTTGATGTGCGGAGCAAGAGGAAGCAAAATCATAGTAACTAGTCGCAGTTACGGAGTGGCAGAGATAATGGGTACAGTGGAACCATACTCTCTAGGGGTTTTATCTGAGGAAGACTGTTGGTCCTTATTCAGGGAAAGAGCTTTTAGGGACAGAGGCGAAGAAGAGGCTAATCCAAATCTGGTGGCTATAGGAAAGGAGATCGTGAGTAAGTGTGGAGGAGTACCGCTAGTGGTAAAAGCTCTAGGAGGTCTATTGAGGTCTAAGAAAGAAGAGAAAGAATGGTTGTCAGTTAGAAACCACAGGAGTAATATAATCGAAGATGGAAGTGGAATCTTACCTGCCCTGAAATTGAGTTACAATAGTCTCCCATCACCCATGAAGCAATGTTTCGCTTTTTGTGCATTGTTTCCTAAAGACTACAATATTCCAAAGAATACTCTAATTCAGTTATGGATTGCTCATGGCTTTATTCCAGCTAAGTTGTCATCTGCAGGGAAAGAGGTAGAGGATGTTGGAAATGAGTCTTTCAATGACTTGCTAAGGAGGTAGAGGATTGCTCATGGCTTTAATCAAGCAAAAGCACGGTGAGAGCCTTTRCGCCTACATCAACCGCTTTAAGAAAGAAGAGCTTAGAGTCCGAGACCTTRACGCCTCGGTCTCCAAGCACACCGCAATCAATAGCCTTTCGCCTGGACCCATCAAATGGTCCATCCTCAAGACACCACCAAAGAATAATGCTGAATTTTTGAAACAGGTGTAGAAATACATTACCACCGAGGAAGCTGAGGCTAGCGAGCGTCTCCAGGAGCACAAGGCCGATGCCATTATAGGGGTCCCGAAGAAGAAGAGAAAGGACAAAGACAGTTGCGGCCATGGACACAACAACAAAGACGCCAACAAAAAGTCGTCGGCCCCTTCCTTTAGAAATTACATGCCACTCAACTCCACCCGAACGCACATCCCCATGTATGTAGAGAAGGAGGAATACATATAGTGACCAACAAAGTTGAAGAGGAACCCCAAGAGGGGTAATCCAAAGAAATATTGCAAGTACCACCGCGGCACTGGCCATGACATCAATGACTACTACAAGCTCAAGAATCGAGTCCCTCATCTATTGTGGTCACTTGAAGGAATACATGGGGGGTGATGCCAACGCCTCATCCTCACAACAGCATCACACCCTAGCTGGAGTAATTGACATCATAATTAGGCGCACGACCTCAGATGGAGCCTCGACTTCAACCCGAAAGGCCTACGCAAAGCAACTCAGCATCCAAGGCTCGACACCTAAGAAGCTGAAGCCAGATGACGTCATGTCCTTCTCGGACAATGACTTGAAGGGGGTCTTGGTGCCCCATGATGATGCATTGGTGGTGTCGATGATCATCGCCAATCAAATGGCAAAGAGGATACTTGTGGGCAATGGATCTTCAGTTGACATCCTCTTTTATGATACCTTTGAGAAGATGAAGCTTACACTGGATTGGCTACAGCAGGTTAACGTGCCACTAGTCGGCTTCTCTGGAGACGTCATCAAACCTGAAGGAAGAATCACCCTACTAGTCACAATAGGGACAGAGCCTCGACAGGTGACCAGGATGATTGAATTCTTTGTTGTGAAGATAGGCTCCTTATACAATGCCATCACTAGGAGGCTCACCCTAGATGCACTCAAGGCGGCCATCTCCTCCTACCACCTCACCATGAAGTTCCCCACCAAGCATGGCGTTGGAGTCGCCCGAAGAACCAGCAAGAAACCAGAAAATGTTATGTGGCAACACTTAAGGGTAAGAATAAATAAGCTTTACCATTGGAAGGGCTTGGCCCCAGGGATGAACTAGTGAGTTGAGGCCAATCGGCTAAGGACCTTGTCTCGATTCCCCTAGACGAGGCCAAGCCCGAGAAAATGATATGTGTCAGGTCCGACCTTCCTCTAGACATACTTTTTGATCTGGGCTAAGTGTGGACCCGAGCTATAGGCCAATTAGGCAGAAAAAGAAGAACTTTGTACCAAAGCATTGGAAAGCCATCGCAGAGGAGGTAGATAAGCTACTCGGCACTAGCTTCATCTAAGAGGTGCATTACCCTAAATGGTTGTCTAATTTGGTAATGGTTAAAAAGGCTAATAAAAAATGGTGGATTTTTTTTGACTTCATAGAGCTCAACCGAGCCTGCCCTAAAAATATCTTTACTCTACCGATGATCGACCACCTCGTCGATGCCACTATAGGGTACGAGATACAGTGCTTCATGGATGCCTTCTCTAAGTACAATTAGATCGAAATGTCAGCCAATGATGAGGAAAAGACCTTTAACCACTGAGAATGACACATATTGCTACAAGATTATGCCCTTCAGCCAAAAGAATGCTAGAACCACCTACTAACAGCTAGTGAACAAGGTCTTTAGGGACCACATGGGGAGAAATGTTGAGGCCTTTGTCGATGACTTGATGGTGAAGAGCATAAAGGCCGACCAACACACCTTGGACCTTGGCGAGACCTTTGTTGTGCTAAGGAGATACAATATGAAGTTGAACCTAAGCAAGAATGCCTCTGGCATCACCTCGAGCAAGTTCTTGGGCTTCATCATCACCCAACAAGGCATAGAGGCCAACCTAGAGAAGATCTTGGCCATTCTTAACATGGAAACACCTTGGACAAGGAGACACAAAAAGCTCACGGTTTTGTTAGACGAACCGTGGGGCATCTTCTGAAACCAAACTAGTACTACCTGCTTTTGGAAAACTAGTAACTGGATCCAAATCGAAGCCAGTCGGCTAACTGGTTGACCGGTTTAGTTAACCATTAATTTGGTTCATCGAATTTCTGGTTTTTTTATTTTTATAATATATATATAACAAAAATTATAAATATAAATAAAATATTATATTTTAAATAATAAATAATATTTATGTATAATGCATATTTATTAATTTATAATATATAAAATATATAAAATATATAGAAATATATGTATACCAGTCGGTTTGGCTAACCGTCAATTTTCTATGTTGGTTAACCAAAACCGAACAGACCAGTTTGGTTAACTGATTTTTTGGTTTGGTTTCGATAGGTTTATTCGATTTTTTTTATCCCCCCTAGCTCACCATTCAAGTGGTTGCCCTCAGTCAATTCATGTCAAAGTTGGTTGATCGCTGCATGCCCTTCTTCCAAGCCATAAAAAATCTAAGACTTCTAGTGAAATGAAGATTACCAAAAAGCCTTTGATGTGATGAAGACTTACCTCGCCTCGTCCTCTCTGCTCACATAGCCCCTCCTAGGAAAAACACTATTCCTATACTTGATGGTTGGGTACGAGGTCGTCAGTTCTGTTATTGTACGAGAGGACGGAGGTGTGTAGTGACTAGTCTATTACATCAGCAAGGCCCTTTGTGATGTCAAGACCCAGTATCCCGAAGTGGAGAAGCTAGCTTTCGTATTGGTGGTCTCAACCAGGAAACTCAGGCACTATTTCCAAGCTCACAACATCACGGTGTTGACCAACCAACCCCTCAAGTCTGTACTCTCCAAGCYTGAGACCTCGGGTTGGTTGACCAAGTGGGYCATTGAGTTGTACGAGTTTGACCTACACTACCAATCGAGACATGCCATCAAAGCACAAGCCTTTGTAGATTTCTCGGTAGAATGCACCTTCAGCAAAGACCTTGGTCAGGATCCCTTAGAAAATGAGGGACCTTGGCCGACCTAGAAACTATTTGTGGATGGGTCCTCTAATGCTAAAGAGAGCGGAACAGGCCTCTTACTTCTCATCCCACACGACAGCGAGGTGGAATATGCACTAAGACTTTTCGATTTGTTAGGATCAAGGGAGGTATCTGAATCTGACTCTTATCATATCAAAACCATATTTGATTCTAATATGGTCCAACTTATTTGCAGCCCTAGGCCAATTGTCAAGTGTACTATAAAATCAGTTTACCGACAATGATGACACTTTGGCTGATAAGGGACAACTGTAGTATGTATATTATCTTGTGAAATTCAAATCTTCACATTTGAATCAAAAAAACTTTTTTATTGGTGTTTGTAGCAAAACACGTATAGCCATTTAAACTCATACAACTAATCAATGGGAACCTAACCACATTCTATTCAATTGAGTACAAGACACATAGCAATCTTAAAACATAATTGTCCTTCACAGTAGCCCTCTCTTTTGCCTTCTCCACTATTTTTTCTATTTTTTTTTAATTTTTTACACTTTTTAGTATAACCTCTACCATCTCACCCATTCCAAATCATTGAAAACATTTCTTCTCTAAAATTTTTTCTAATCAATCTCCTAAAAAATATTTCTACGAAAAACTTCATCCTCAACGAAACCATCTAATGGGTTTTTTTTGGTAAATCATCTAATGATTTATTCTAACACATTCTCTCTCTCTCTCTCTATATATATATACCTTTTAAATGCATGCAATTAGTTTTTCATCAAGGGTATTAAAATATTAATGTTTAAGTGAATATTTAAATATTAAAAAATAAGATAAGTAAAAATATCTAAAAATACCAATTAGAGGAAAAATTGATAATAAAAAAGATAAATAATAAATGTAAACTAATAATAGTAAATATTAAAAATAATAAAATATTATTCTAATTATAAATAATTGTATAATGTTACTAATAAACCTTATTATTATAATCCATTTTAAATGTTATGTAAATATTATAAAAAATTAATACAAACCTATTAATAAAGTAACAAAACTAATAAAAATAATAGTTATATAATTAGTTTTTTATTAATTTAAAGTCAATTTAAAAATAATTAAAATTAATAAATGTTAGTAATGGCATATAAAATTAATTAATTCCACCATTAAAAATTATTAATTTTACACTTTTGTTAATAAAAGATAATTAAAAATAAAAATAAAAAATCTAAAAACAAAAAAAAAGTAATGAGGGAGAGGTGRTGCTCACATGGAAAACTACTTTTAGGAATAACAAAAAATAATGCTTGATTAATAATTCCCGAATTTCAATTTCTATTAAAAAATCTTATGCATCACATGGATCCCAACTGATTAATAATTCCCGAATTTCCTCAACTCTCATGTCTTTTGA